ATGTGACGTAACGTAATGTGACCCGATGTGACGTAATGTGACGTAAACGTAATGTGACCCGATGTGACGTGATGTGACGTAACGTAATGTGACCTGATGTGACGTAATGTGACCTGATGTAACGTAATGTGACGTAATTGGAGTAATGTGACGTAACGCTAATGTACCCGATGTGACGTGAGTGAACGTACACGTAATGTGACGTGATGTGACGTGATGTGACGTAACGTAATGTGACCCGATGTGACGTAATGTGACGTAACGTAATGTGACCCGATGTGACGTGATGTGACGTAACGTAATGTGACCGATGTGACGTAATGTGAGTAACGTAATGTGACCCGATGTGACGTAATGTGACGTAACGTAATGTGACCCAATGTGACGTATGTGACGTAACGTAATGTGACCCAATGTGACGTAATGTGTACGTAACGTAATGTGACCCAATGCTGACGTTGCAAAGTGACCGCGCGGTTGGCCGCCATGTTTGTTTATTGCGACCGTTTTCGATGGGCGAGAAGCGCAGACGACTACTGCGCATGCTGTACATGCGCCTTTACAAAACAAGAGGCGCCTGTACGCATGCGCACTTATGAGCGTCAAGTTTGGCGGGCAAGCGTCCAAAACTCTACGCGTACGAGTAAACGGCATTCGCCCCTGGGCAACACATCACGCATCTACCGATGAAAATGTCTATTCACAACAAGTAACCGCTTGACTCTGAGTCCATGATGAGTGTGTGGCGAATCACAGATAGCTTCCTGACAGTTACTTAAGGGTATTTCCTCGCAGTGAATTATTTAATCGGACACAAGTGGGAGTATTTCATGCTAATGCAGCCCGTACAACACATAAGCATGCGAGATGCTCAAAACTTCTGCCCAAACCAACCCAACTAGACATGTACTTACTACTTAGATGCACGTGCGCATGCAAACGTTATATGCCATACACCATTCACGAGGAGGAAACACGCAATCAACTTAATTACGTTGAGGAACGTAATTGTCAGCTACACCTGATGAATGGCTGTGCTCTCTCTCTCTCCTCCCCCTCTCCCTTTGTCTCCGCTCACGCTCACGATTGCTCGCTCCCTCTCTGATCTCTCTCACTCTCTCTTGCTTGATCGCTCACTCTATTAACCTCTGTTTCCTCTTTTACTATCACATCTCCCTCTTTCTTTCTCACCCCCGTCCCTCCCTTATCTCTCGCCCTCACACACGCTGCTCACCTGGGTTCATAAAGAATAAGGAACTTAAGGCAGATGTAGTCATTGCGGTCAACTTCAGCTGACGCAGCTTCCTGAAGAGCTCCTTCTAGCCGGTCAGCCATGTTCGGTGAAACCAAACAGGCACATATTTGCCCAGGCTGAACTTCTGACCGTTGGGCAGCCGAGTCTCGTCCGGCAAGCCGTTGCACTGTGTTGGTAGATGTGGTCCAGCATGAGCATCTCCGACCAGGACACATGCAGAAGCTTCATTTGGTCGTCGACCTGAAAGAGCACATTATCGCCCACGTTAACGAGACCGCACATGTGTCGTATTTAAAAGCATTGTGAAATTTTAGCGGTAAATGGGCTTCTACATTCGCAGTTTACGATAGGAACCACATCTAAATACTATATCTCAATAACACTAAGTCTTGATTGTGAATTTATATGTAATAGCTAGGATCCCGAATCATACAAACGTAAGTATAAAGTTTGTGTAGCGAAAGTATACCGCTACATATCAAAATATATACATAATCTCATGGAAACATTTGATTGAAACAATTTGCAATGTAGTAAGTTAGTAAGACTGTCTTATGTGTGTCAGGTTACAAGGCGAAACAAACAGAAAACAAAAGAGCATGGCTACTATTTCCTATGGCCCTGAAAAACAAGATTCAAACAAAAAGAAAACAAGAGAAAAACAAAAGAGCATGCGTGCATGCGCACTTAGGAGCGTCCAGTTTCGAGCAAGCGTCCAAACTCTACGGGACACCGTTTTGCCCGTTTATGCTAGTAATTTATTGTGTAGGTAACCGCATTTCGAATGCGCAGACGAATATCAAAAGCAAACACTGCCTAACCCCCCTTGGTCAAATATCCATCGGTAGCAATCTAATTTTGATTGTCTTAACCTTTTGTTTTGATCGTGTCAAGGGAGATAAACAAGATTGGTATTATTTGCGGGCGTAAATCAAACGTTCAAGTCCAATAATCCGGATGAATCAGATGGATGTGATTAAAGTCATGATTAAGTGCTTTTTTCCTTATAATGATCACAATATCGTGACATGAGGTCTAAATTGCTACATTCACACCCAATTTGAGTTCACATGGATGACATTCTATCTGTTGCATGATGCTCTCGTCTGTTTCATGACATTCTGCCATGTATCTCTGCTATGCCGGCCTGCTTAACCCTGAGTCTGAACATTGCATACCCTCCAGTCTCCGTATGCTCACTTTCTCTCCCTGATGTTACATTACGTTGCATTGTGTCACGTTATGCTACGTTAAATTACGTCACCCTACGTTACGTGTTGCGTCACGTCACGTTACATTGTGCTATGCTGCGATACATTACGTCAGGAGTGAATAATAATAGATCTGTTATTATCCACTCCTGATTACATTACATACGTCACGTCACATTACGTCACGTCGCATTACGTCACGTCACATTACGTTACGTCACATTACGTCACATCAGGTCACATCACGTCACATTACGTTACGTCACATTACGTCACATCACGTCACATTACGTTACGTCACATTACGTCACATCGGGTCACATTACGTCACATTACGTTACGTCACATTACGTCACATCGGGTCACCTCAAATCACCTTCTCGTCTCTGTCGTTGCAGACGTGCCGGGCCTGCTCAATCCGAAGGTGGTGGAGAGCGCGCAGGAGAAGGTGAACTGCGCGCTGCTGGAGTACTGCGAGACCTTCCATCCACACATCG